GTTTCCTTACTTACTGAAGACTGTATATATACATACATATAAAACTTCTATGAAAGAAAATAACCTTTCTAGAAGTATTTAAAATTAGTGTAATACATTATCATTAATTTCTAAGCATTAAATTTTCTACTAATAAAATAGAAGTTGATAAGATAATTATTTTTACTTGATTTCTCTTAAATTAACAATCGTGTTAAGAATATTATTTTTGGTATTTTTTATTTTCATATATATATATATATATATTTTTATTTATTATTTCTTAATTACTTTTGTAATTCATCATTTAATAAGAGACACCTTTCATAAAGGTATTAACTTTATTTTTTTAATTAAATATTCAACTTTATTGTAAAATAAAAATTTTTTCAACTAAGAAAATGACTGGTAATTAACAACTTTTGACTCATTATGTTGGAAGTTATTACCGTTATAAAATATAGACTGTTGATGAGGTGCAAGTATGACTACTATTATCATTAGAAATTTTTTGTGCACACCTCTTGTTCTGCCTAGATATAAAAGTATTATTAACTTCCCTAATTTTCTTAATTAGATCATTTTATAAGCTAGTTAAATGTGTTTTTATTTAAAAATAAAATGTATGCCCTTATAAAGAATGAATCGAAAAAGTAATTAAAACTGATGAATCGTAAAATATATGAAATTATAAAATACCAAAAATAATTATCTTAACATGTTTATGTTAAGAGAAATGAAGTGAATAGCGTTTAAAAAATCACCTGTATACTTATTTTTTTTATGAAAATCATAATATAATACTTTCTGCTATTTAATATTGCGTGTTCAATGTAAAATTCATTATAGCCACAAAATAAAAATTCGATGTACTAATATATTCATTCTGAAATATATCTATTTATTTAGCAGTACTAAATACCATAGACAGAAGAAAGATGACAAACTACTTCAAATAACCACTTCCTTATTGTATTACTATAACAATAGTTCTCAGCGGCTATAGGTAAGCTTTCCCAGAAATACATGAAGTAAATACTTAAAATACATTAAGTATAACGTTACAACACTGACAATAATAGAAATAACAATTACAAAATAGAATATATCTACTATAGCGATTAAGTCTTGACAGATATTAATTCTTAGACTTTTATTTGTGAAGAATAATTAGTTCGCTTAACAATTATATTCATTGTAATAAATAAAAATTATATTTCATTTTATTATTTTTTTTTTATTATATAACACCTATTACAAAATTGAAAGAGGACAATATTTCAAAGACGATCTCATATCCATTTTAGGATTAACCTAAAATCAAGCTTGATAATTGAATTTTAAAATATTCTTTTTTATTATACTTCAATCAATTATAACTCTTTATTAATACAATATATCCAAAAACGAATATGAGATCATCTCTAAAGTATAGTTCTCTTTCGATTTTATAATGGGTGTTATTGCTCTAAGTACAATACTTAGTGTGTAACATGCATTTTCTGAAGACATGTTTTTACGCTCAAATATTAGCTGTATAATGTCCTCTTTAAATTAAAATTTTAACTTTAAAAATACCTAATTATAAAGTTTTCCAAGAGATTTGTTGGGTTAAATAATATAACTATAAAAACATGTTCATTAACACTGTTATATTTAAAAATAAATATTTATTAGTACAGAGATCAATTCTTTTTTATTTGTAGTGAAAACATCATTTAAAAATTCATTCTCAGATGAAAAATTTATCTTTTAAATCTTTACAAAATATTGTGAACAGCTATTTATCAACGAATTTTTTAAATGTCCAATCAAATTTAATCTATTTAAAATCATCTATATAGTTGTATTTAATAAAACAAAACTATATTTTCAGTTTTCTCTAATTTTTCCATTAAAAATAAAAAAATATTGGAGTCAAACTAGTTAACTATAATTAACATCAATTTACTTGAACGCATATTATGAACACATATATTTACGCGTGTTCTATGTTTTTCTTCAATCGGAACGAGATAAATTTCCGCAGGGATTTGTTTGCCACTGTCAAACAATACTATTATGCAAGAAAGAAAGAAGAACGAAGTCCTACTTGAAATGTGTCATGCAGAAGAACCTACCGGAGACAAGCGCATATGTCACTTCAGGCGGTCGAATAACTATGCAAACAATGAGGTTATATCTTGATCAATTATTTTAATTTTTCACGGTAAACAAGACCATTCCAAGTCGGCTCAATCTCTCATTTATTTATACCATTTTTGACTTACTGTTCAATTTTCTTGGGATTTCCGAAAAAATACACAAATGATTAGAAAAGTTAATGCGCTTTTAATAAACTCTATAGAAACATGAATTATTACTGCGTTTACCACCAACAAATCTTTATACATAAACGTTTCATTATAATAAGTACACAATATTTTAATTAAATAAGTTAAAACAAATAAGAATCATCAGTAGTGTTGTGGGTTATATAGAATACATAATACATATATTTAGCTTCGATGCGAAGCTGAAGGTATTAGTTTTACCATGATGTGTTTATTTTTTTGTATGTCTGTGGCCACTTTTTCTCAGCTCTCACTGGACCGATTTTTCTCAACAATACGTTAAAAGATTACAATCATATCTCGTTGAAGACATTACCCTCAAAAATTGAAAATTTTGCCTTCGTTCCCCGTAAATGGCGGAAATCCCCTAAGAAAAACGATACGGTAAATTTCGAAATTTTTTTCTAAAAATTGCCATAACTTTTTGAAAAATGAACGAACGAAAATAATTTTTTTTATATAAAAACCTTACGTATTTCCCTTTCATTTTATATAAATTTTTTGAAAATATGACCCTTTACCTGCCCACAAGGGAGGATTCAAAATAGCAATGTCTGCGCAAAAATTTAACTTTTTCAACTTAAGTTTTGAAAATGTTCCGGAAATACTCCAAGCTTCAAACATATATTAAAATAAAACTAATGTTATGTACTATATGTTCAAAAAATAAATAAATTTTCCAGATAACTTATCTTCTATGTACAAATGGTTGCCGTAGTTAAAAATTTTGTGTTAAAATTTTAATTTTTTTTTTTATTTTAAAATACCTCATAAGGGTTTGCCATAGTAATGAGTCCATCAATATAAAATATAAATGAATCTAATTTACATTAAATATAAATTTTTACTTATTCTCTTTTACTTATTAACTCTTCAAAGTTAAGAAAAGCTTTTTTGAATTTTTGAAAATTTGAATATTTGTATAAAAATTAGAACTTTGTCAACTTAACTTTTGAAAATGTTCCAGGAATACTGCGTATTTTAAATATATGTTAAAATAAAGCTTATTTTATGTAGTAGAAGTTCAAAAAAAAATTTGTACCGACGACCTATTTTCTATTTGCAAATGGCAGTCCAAGTAGAACAAAAAAATCTTTTTTGCTTTTGGAATAATCCGCCAATATCTTAAAATTAAACACTATCTACAGATTTGCATTGAAGCGTTTCTTATGATAGTGATTATAATTACTGTCAGATATCATCTATACTTGTCCCAATTATGCCACGTTCATATTGTGACACGACTATATTGTTCTATTTTTTTTTTTTTGGTAATTTAATATACAGGGTGTTCAGTAAGTTAGGAAACAGTTAAATTGTTACAAACAATGAGTACAATAGAAATTCGTTTCCTTATTTACTAAACACCCTGTATATAGAATAAGTAAGTAGACCTTAATTTAACAATTCAAGGTCCCAGTTTAAAATGATTTCAAAATATTAGGGATCTAACTATAATTAAATTTTAGAAAAAAGATTATCAATTATCCGTAACAATTTATATTCCTAAATTACCTGCTGTAAATAATTTCATTTCTCATATATCGAAGGGTCCTGTGTAAAAATATGCCTTCTTATAAAGTATTCTTTATAGAGTAGTATAAATTTAAGTTCTTACGAAATCGTTCTGTATACAATAACCGAAATAATTTCTTTAAGGGGTAGTAACTTTTGAAACATTTTCAATAGTAAATATTGTTATTGTTTAAAAGTATTTGTATTTAATTAATATTAATTTCTATACATTACAATAAAAAAAAATCGTTTAATCATTAGCTTTTGAAAATTGTCAAGTTAAATTTAAAATCAAACTTTTTATAAAAAGTTAGATTTTGAATGTCCTATAAATGCAACTTATTCTGCTGCTTTCAATCAGAAACACTTAAACTAAATTAATACTAAATGCTAAATACTACTTAATACTAAATTAAAAATTTTAATTTTCTTGTCAGTAAATTAAGTACTCATTAAAAAATAAATATAATCTTTGGGAAAAACTTAATTACAATTTACTTTAGACAATAAAATTTGCTAGACCGTAATAACTATAAGCACAATACTATGGAATAATCAAAAATTTTGAAATCGATAGTAAATCATTTTTTATTTTAGCTCATTGATATTTAACATTATTTTTTATTTTTTAGCTATAATTTGTTTGTTAAATTCAATAAGGGGAGGTGCGAAATTATACTTTTACTTTCCAATATTTTGATTAAGGGGTAATGCTCCACTGCCCTACGATTTCAGCATTGCAATTTCCTATATTCGTCACTAATATGCATATATACTTACATTTATATTTACGTAAAACGTATGCAACAATCGAAAAAATCAATTTTCTAGCCCATACTGAGTATTGAAATGTATGGCTTATCTTTGTAAATAAGTTATAATAAACTTTTAATTCATTTATTCTTGTAATCGAATAAATACAAATACAATATTTTTTTTATTAGTCTAAAACATATTTATGCTAAGCTTCATAAAAACTTACTAAAATCATTATGAATGGTAATGAATAGTACTTATGTATTTTTTTTCTTTTGTACAATTTGTGTAATATTTCTAAATTTCGCGCAAAAATTTTATAATTAAAACAATTTTAATTCAACTGTATTAGTATCCTTAGAACTAAAATTCTACTTTATTTAACCCAAAAAATTCTGTTAAGTATTCAGTGCTTACCGGTTTGAGAACTACAAACAACGTACGCTGTGATTTCACTCATTCAGAAATAATCATAACTTAATAAATACAATTAAAAAAAAAATTTAACAAATTTTGACACGCGATTCCGTAATACGCGATTGGACGCGAATTCACGCGTACGGGCGGACGCGAGCTCAGCTCTCGCACTGAAGTCTGAAACACACGGAGGTCGACTAGAAGCGCAGCGCTATGACAGCATGAATTGTGGAAACAGTGAAAAAAGGCAAACCCTAAGGGTAATAAGCGTCGGCGCAACCCTAACGCTTTTCTTCTCCTTTCCGATACTCCACACTTGTGATACTGCCTCACTGTGTTCTTTAGTTTCATGTCCAACTGTACCCTTTTAAAGCGCCCTGGTCATACTGTGTTCAATCGTGCAAGTAGGTAAGCATTACTCGAAATGTTGACCTCAAACATAGGAAGGCATACATGTTTAAGTATTATAAAAAAATAATAGAATACTAATCATTATGAATTGATTATCGTTAAATTACTAATGATAGCACTAAATAGGGGAAATAAATTCTGCTATAGTAATATACCATTGTCCCGGGCCTTATGCCCGGCCAATGAAAAGATACTTTTGTTTGAGAATATAAATCAATAAAAATGTAATCTCAATAATAATAAAATCATCAATCTTATCTTTTTGTTTATTGTGAAACTACATGTGATATCTGGCAATTTCGTGTCAATATCATTTTAGTAATTCGTGCTTTATATCTAACCGTCATGTCTTTATTATCGACTCCTCGACCTCAAAGTATATTGCGGAAACTATTCATAAGCTGTAAATGAATAATGCTCATAGAGCTTATTTATCGTAACAAGTAATAAAAGATGATCAGCATAAATAAATTCTCCCAAAAATAAAAATAAACTTCAAAAATTTGTTTTGTTTTTTATGTTTATTAACTGTATTGGTATTATGATATTGAATATACCAACTTAGATAACACAATTTCAGATATTCTAAAAACTAGGAGGAGTAATTTTTTGTAATCAGTATCAAACTGTCTTTTCTTCCTGAGAAGTGATTGTAATAGAACTATATTACAACTACTAGCTATACTACTATATAAACTAAAACCAAACAAAGTGTATAAGTTTTAAAGTTTGATTATACGTGAAATGTAGTTACTTCAAAATTAATAAATTATATTATTTTTATTTTTGAAAAAAATAATAATTAAGAATTTAGAAAGACTTTTGAATTGGTTAAAGTGAAATGTTTCATTAGAAGTCAAAAAATGTTTAAATCACTGATAAAATGAATGGCGTCTATAATATGTTTAGACGTTGACAACCGAAATATTATATTTTCAAACATACTGAATAATTAGTTAGAGCAAAAATATATTGAATGTAAAAGCGCTCTCATCGTGGAGGTTATTAAATTATAGTTGTGGTGAAGATACAATTTTAGAGGGAGTAGTTAAAAAACATCAAACATTTTCCCCCCCACAACCCGATGTCAAAATTTAGAACACACCACTGATTGCAAAAATTAAAATTGAATATAACAGTTTGAAAAATATTTTGAAATGTATTTTAAATATTTATATAGGTTTTGAAACGTAGGGGAGATTGGGGCACATTAGAATACAGGGTAGATTTGAATTGATAAAATAAAATTAGCTGTAGTGATAAAGTAAATTCAAGTAAAATACAGAAGGTTAGTCATACTGTACCCAATATATGATATGTTCATGAGCTATCTGTTATTAATATTTTCATAATTATAAATAAAACTGTTTTTGAATTTTTTGTTACCGTTTTATTACCATCTTAATAAGAGTTTGAGAAAAAAACATTCAGTAAGTATTTAACAAAACGTACTAAATTAAAATATTATATTCTTTTAAATGGGATATTATAGAATGTGATGTTGTATTTCATTGTACAATTTTTGATAAATTTGTTGAAACATGTACTATGGGGTACAATTGAATATTCCAAAATGGGGTAGATTTGAATTGGTTTTTAACATTATAATGATCTCATAAGGTGTATTTTATTTTAAGAAAATGGTAAGAAATTATGTTAAAAAGGACAGTAAATGTTGAATTTATTTATCTATAAGATATTAAAGATTTGTTAATTTTCTTTTTACAAGTAGGTAGATAACTACCTACTTTTAATTTTTCTAGAGAAACTATTGTTTTATATTATATAAGTACCTACTAAGAAAATGTATTAAAATAATATACTTTTACTTATTGGTAATTTTATGTGTGTTAATTTTTCAATATAAAGACTCATTCAAATGTACCCCTATCAAGTAACTTGTGTTTAACATTTTATAATAAACTATTCAGTGATGTAGATTTTTAATAGTTACAGTGTGATGTTAAAATATTATGAGAATCTAGCAGAACCATTATACTTCAAATTAAATGCAAAAAAAAAAATTAAAAATCAAAATGTAATTTTCATTCAAATCTGCCTTAGTCCCCCCTACTTATTATGCAATAGTCAAAGAAAGTTTGGCGAAAAATTTGTTAAAATTTTCTAATAATATATCTGAATATGTTATATAATAAGTTAAACTAGTTATTTTTTAATAAGATAAATAGCAAAATTACATACAAATGAGAAATATCATAATTGAAAAAATTAGTCACTATTTGTATATTTTAAAATGCACAATTGAGCAATGTTAGGCTCATTTGTACATTTAAAAATAAATAATAACTCGGGAAGGCTTATGTTTATTTTATTGAACAATTAAAATGTTAAAAATAATAAATAAACAGTTATTTAGAGTGTTGAGTGCTATATTGAGCTTTTTGAAAATCTTGATCATTAATAAAAGATGATTACACTCCTTGTTCATGGAAGAAAAAATGTAGCATTTGCTGTTTTATAATATGAAACCAGTGTAGTAAGCTGCATAGTATAGCGTCTAATAGTATAACCGGTGTACACACTGGTATCTGATGTTTTGTTTATCGTGTCACTCGGCTTAACTATTACAACCCAGTGTTTTTTTTAATTGGGAAAATTTGTTGAACGATTGTGTAGTTATATTGTATTACAGAATTTATTCCCTAAATAATTTAAGATATTATGCAATAAAGTGCTTTTAATTATTATCAACAGAATTGTGATCAATTAGTTTGGTTTTTAACGCTTCCGACCGATGGTTTTACATTGTATGTAACCTCTAGTAATATGTCACATCATTAATTTTGCTAAATTTTGGTATACACTTTGGACTTAACATTTAACTTGAACATGGCTAGTCTATCACCTAATTCAATGGGACCGCCTGGACCTAATCATCAACAACAACCTCAATCTTCTCAACAGCCTTCTCCTCAACAATTGCCACCTCCATCTCTTCAGCAGCAGCAACAACAACAACAGCATCAACAAATACAACCACCACCACAACAGCAGCCGTCTTCTCAACAGCAACATCAACAACTGCAGCCAGCTCCTCAGCAGCAGCATCAGCAACAGCCGCTGCCTTCTGGACCTCCACAACCATTACCTACTCAAAATTATCCTCCCAGTCAACCCGGGCCTCCAGCTTCTCCTAACATGCAGCAAGGAACACAAACTTTTCCACCGCAAGGCATTCAAGTAATTATCAAATATTAACTTATTAATTTCAAGTACTTAAATTTAATTTATCAAGTTTTCAATTTAAAGAAAAATCTTCTTCTTCTTCTTCCTCGTCTTAATCCCAACTACTTGGGGTCGGCCACCCTTATCCTAAACTTCCACATGACATGATCTCCTACATCATCTATGCTCACATTAGATATCCTCATATCGCATTCAATTACATCCTTCCATCTCTTTTTTGGTCTTCTTTTACCTCTTCTTCCTTCAACATTCATTTCTATAACTGTTCTTACAGCTTCTGATTCTTCTCTCATCTTATCCAAGATTGACGTTACACTTATACTTCCTCTTATATCCTAGTTCCTTTTCCTACCTTCTCTAGTCATTCCACTCGTCCATGTAAGCATTCTTATTTCTGCTACACTCATTCTGTGATCCTAAATACTTAAAACTTTCCATCTCTTTTATCACGTCCACACTTATTGTCACTGGTCTCCTCATTTCACCTACCTCGTGTTCTTCTTTGTCAAACACGTACTCTATATACTCTGTCTTACTCCTACTTATTCTTAAATCCTTTTCTTCAAGAGCTGATCTCCACACCTCTAGCTTCTGATTAATTTTCTCCTATTAACACTATATTGTCAGCAAACAACATGCACCACGGCACCTCTCCTTGTATTTCTCTAGTAATTTCATCCATCATTATAGAAAATAAGTAAGGGCTTAAAGCAGAACCTTGGTGCACTTCTACTTTTACCCAAAAACCTTCTGTTACTCCTCCCACACTTTTTACCCTGGTATAAGTGCTATCATATACATCCTCTATTATATTAATGTACCTTTTCAGGACTCTTATTCTCATTAATGTTCATATTATAACCTTTTTCAATAGTGTATCATATGCTTTCTCCAAATCTATACATACCATACAAAGCTTTTTCTTTTTTTTCCTAAACTTTTCTATTAGTTGCGTCACACAAAATAATGGCTCCATTGTTGACTTACCAGGCATAATTCCAAACTGGTTTTTAGATACCGATGTCTTATTTCTTATTTTCTTATCTATTACCTTTTCCCAAATTTTCATACTATGACTCATAAGCTTTATGCTTCTATAATTTTCACACTCCTGTATGTCACCTTTACCTTTAAATATCGGCACCTCAATACTATTCTTCCATTCATTTAGAATTTTCCTTTCTAATAAAATTTTATTTAAAAGTTCCTTCAACCACCTTTTACCAACACTGCCCAATATTTTCCATACTTCTACTGGCACTTCTGGTTCTACTACTTTATTCTTTTTCATTGATACTACGGCCTTCCATACCTCTTTCCCACTAATTAAATCTACCCGTCCCTCATTCCACAAGATATCCTCTAATGTCTCTTTTAGGTACTTCTCATTCAGTAATTTTTCAAAATACTCTTTCCACCTTTTTTTCACATCTTCATCATTCGAGAGTACCTTATTATCAACACTTTTTATACACCTTATATAATGATAATATTTAGACCTTTTCTCTCTTACGTTTGCAAGTCTATAGATTTTTCTCGTCTTCCTTTGTTCCTAGCCTATCATACAACTCATCATACCTCTTAAACTTCATCTTACTGCACACTTGTCTTCTTTGCACATACATTTATACTCCATCCAATTTTCTCTCCTTTGCTCTTCTGTCATACTTTGAATTGAGTTTTCTTACTTTCTATCATTTTTAAACGTCCTCATCCCACCACTGGGTTTCCTTGTTTCCTGACATTCTACTCCTACATTCAATTTAAAGAAAATAATAACTATTATTTTAACTAACTTATTTAATGAATCATTAAATTGATTTATAAAGATTAAACAGTATTGATCAGNTTATTTAATGAATCATTAAATTGATTTATAAAGATTATACAGTATTGATCAGTGTAGAGTACATCTAATTGTACTCTCCATTCATGTTTATCAATCCTTTATTCAATTTTAATAATTTATCATAGTAGACATTTTTGATATTTCTATCAAATATGTTTTTGAAGTATAATATTTAATTTAAAATTTTAATTATGTATCTTATCGATTTGACTTATTTGTGAGTTGCAATATATATATTTGTATGGAAAATAAATCCCATTACATATCTAAATTAAAACAAATAATATTTTAAACTTTTATTACATAATTAATAATGTCTTTAGAGTATTTATGTATAAATATGTTTATATAATTACATATTTATAAGTATTTACATATGACTTAAAATGTATAAAACAATACTTTTTTATCAATTTTTCAAAATCACTTTAAATTTTTTATATCTTCAGCTAATTTTCTTGTACAAGCAGGAATAATATTTGCATCCATAATATTTTTGTATATATGCCCTTAAAATAATATAGTTTTTATTTTAATTGTACTGTTTTAATTACACAAAGACATACTAAATTTACCTTCTGAATCTAATACAATACCTCCAGCCTCTTGAATTAAAAGAATTCCAGCTACAACATCCCAACATTTTAAATATCTCATTTCTGGACAAACATCTATAGCTCCCATTGCCAAATAACTTAATTGCATTGCTGCAGAACCTAAAGATCTAATCCTAAAAGAATTTAATATTAATAATTCTATAAAAGTAATATGGTAGAATAATCAAATTGTCTGTCTTACCCTCTGCAAGTTTTCATTATTTCTTCACATTTTTTTAAGAAAAATTGCTTAATTTGTTCATCTACCGAACAATATATATCAAACCCAACCATAGCTTTTTTCAGATCTAATGAATACAAATTTTTTCTTGGTATTTAAGAAATTACATATGTTTAATATTTATTTTAAGATCATTTTACATTATTAGATAAAATTATTTATTAATTTACAAATTATATTCAACTAATAGTTAATGGTTATTTCAGTATAGTAGATTAATGACATATTGCAGTTCACTGCTTTTTAAAAATATTTAGCAAATTGTGTATAAATTAGATAAATAAAAACTCATCATTTGAATCACTAACTTACATTAGAAAGATGATTATGTATAAAAAAAATATTTTCAAACTGCTTCTTTATAAAAAAGCAAACATGAACTAATCTCTTATTTACACTAAGCCATTGATATTATTTTGATTTACCATTAGTACTGTTTACATGTATTTTGTTATTATTCATAAATGCTCCTTTTCCTTTTTGTGCAGTGAATAATTGATCTAAAATTGGATTATATACTATCCCAATTTGAAGGTCATATTCTACAGCTAATGCTAGTGAAATACAACAGAATGGAAATTTATTTATAAAATTTGTTGTCCCATCAATTGGATCAAGTATCCATGTAGGTTCATTTGTCAAAATATTTTGAGCCGCACTCTCCTCAGCAATAAATCTAAATTTAATTCAAATAAATTTTTATAATATTAATAATGATTATAAAAGTAATTGCCTGAACAGTAATATACAATATTATATATTACTTATGATTAGGATATAGTTTAAGAAGGCTATCAATAATGGTTTTTTCAATAAGTTTATCATATTCTGTAACAAAATCGTTTTCATTTAACTTGGTTGATATGTCTTTTGCACTATAAAACCCATGCTTCAATATCTGTTATATAAAATTAAAAGTTAATTCAAATGTATTTTTCTAAATAAATTAAGTTATTGAATTTTACCTTGCCAGCTTGTTGCACAATATCTAGGGCATTTTTATAAAATTCATCTATACCATTCATTTTTTAATTATATATTTATCAATTATATACTCAAGTAAATTCAATAATTTATGAATGTACTTATAGTTATTAGATTATTAAATTATGTTAAGGAACTCAAATACTTTACTATTTTGTGAATTTTACATAATATACTGTTATGTAAGAGGTGTAAAGTCCAATGATAGGATAAACTAGTTATCCATTTTAATGCAGTGTGACCAGAACAAAGTGACAATATAAAAATTTCTTTAGTTTTTGTTAAAATAACAATGAAAACATGGTAATAATTTTAGGTAAATTATTGAAGTGAAATTTTATTAAATGAATCAATAAATTCTTTACTTTCTCAATTATCTTTCTTTTTCTAACATAAGCTAGGTTGTTACCTAACTTAATTTAACCTTAAATATATAATAATTTAATTGTAATATAAATAGTTTAAAATTAAATGTATTTGTTGTAATAAAGAGAAATATTATAAAAATTTAGTACATCATTTTAATAAAAATTAGTAAATTCCTTTTAATTAAAAAATTATGATAAAGAAAGTATACTGATTTATATCATTGTCTATTCTACCTATATTTTTTATATATATCTTAAATTAGTGGACATTTTAAAAAAAATTTCATTCTGCTATTAGCCTAATGGGCCACCCCAAGAAAATTTGAATGCATTACAAAGAGCTATTGATTCAATGGAAGAAAAAGGGTTACAAGAAGATCCAAGGTACTCTCAATTACTAGCTCTTAGAGCTCGACAAAATGGCATGGATCCTAATCAAAGACCTCCCCTACCTATGCAAGTAAGTCTTTTTATTTAAAATGACAAGAAGTGTTATTTAAATTAATAATTAAAAAAAACTTTGATGTATTATATGATTGGATCTTTTATAAATTTTACAATATATTATTATTTTGTAGAGTAACTATTCTCCTCATCCGGATAAACCACCATCACCTCAGCAAAATTCTCCAAATCCAAATGGTCCTAACACTTCAGCACCACAAAGTAATTTGACACAATCTCAAATGCAACAACTTAGAGTTCAAATTATGGCATATAGACTTCTTGCTCGTCAACAACCTTTAAACCCAGCTTTAGCTTTAGCTGTCCAAGGAAAAAATTCACCTCAAAGTTATCCCCCTTCACCACATCATCGTCAATTAGAACCAGGAGAAATTGTAGATAATAATATGTGCATGCAATCCGGAGCTTCAATGAGAGGTCCTATGCCTCCAATGCAAAATGCTCCTAGACCACAAATGCCTACTGGTCCAATACCACAATCGCCTGTACGTATGCCTCAATCTATGGCCAATTCTCAAGCACCACTACAGCCCCCACCTAACACTCAAAACCCTCATAGTCAACAACAAAATCAACCACCTTTAGCAACTGTAAATGGACCCCAATCACTTTCAAATATGGGTCCAACTCCTCCAGTTACACCACAAACTCCTCAAATATCAAATCCACAACCTGTTGGACAACCACCTATGGGAGGTGTTCCTCAACCTACAATTAGTGGCTCACATCAAATGTCTGGAATTCCTCCACATGTGCCAAATATGCCTACTACAAATGGACCATCTCATCAACAACCACCACCGCAACAACAGCAACAGCAACCAGCACAAGGTACTGCAGCACCTCCCAAACAAAATAGAACTACTACTTGTCCAAAACCGGTAGGATTGGATCCTCTTATAATTTTACAGGAAAGAGAAAATAGACTAGCTGCACGTATTGCTCATCGTGTAAAACAGTTAAGCAATTTACCAACTACAATGAGTGATGATTTGCGAATAAAAGTGGAAATTGAGCTTAGAGCTTTAAGGGTTTTAAATTTTCAAAGACAGTTAAGAGCTGAAGTAGTAGCTTGCACACGCAGAGACACAACATTAGAAACTGCTGTTAATGTAAAAGCATATAAGCGAACTAAAAGACAAGGACTACGTGAAGCAAGAGCTACTGAAAAACTAGAAAAACAACAAAAACTAGAAGCTGAAAGAAAGAAACGTCAAAAACATCAAGAGTATCTCAGTACTATATTGCAGCACTGTAAGGATCTTAAAGAATATCATAGAAATAATATTGCTAAAATAGGACGATTAAATAAAGCCGTTTTAAGTTATCATGCTAATGCTGAACGTGAACAAAAGAAAGAACAGGAAAGAATAGAAAAAGAGCGTATGCGTAGGTTGATGGCTGAAGATGAAGAAGGATATAGGTAAATTATTTAAATTAATATTTAATAAAATAAAATTAAATTAATTTACTAATCAAATTAATGAACTTAATTGGTTTTTTATATATAAATAAAGTGTAATTAAAGAGAGGATTTTTTTTTTTTTTTCTATATAATTAATATTTTATTTGTTAGAAAATTGATTGATCAGAAGAAAGATAAGCGACTGGCATTCTTACTATCACAAACTGATGAATATATTGGAAATTTAACAGAGATGGTAAAAGAGCATAAATTAGAACAAAAACGAAAACAACAAGAAGATCAAAAAAAGAAAAAGAAAGTTAGTTAAACAATACCATGTAAACAAATTTATAAATTTATAGTCTACATATTTTATGATTTGTTTTACTAGAAAGATGGTCCTGATGATCTTGATGAAAGTTCACAACAATCAGATATGCATGTGTCAGTAATAGAGCCATCTACAGGTATGAATATTTTAAATATTAATTACTCCTGTCTTTCAATGATGTTCAATTTTTTTTTTTTTTAGTAAAAATATTAGCTTTTGTCAAATGAACTTAATAAAAAAAAATGTGATTTTTATTGATTTAATTTTTTAAATATTATGAAGAAATCTTTAATATACATGAGAATCATAAAATAATTACAAAAACATCATTTTTTTTGTGAGTGGGGAATCCTATCAATAAACTAGATGTATAATTATTTATACAATTAGTAATTAATGTTTTATGTATTTGCTGAAAAAATATAAATTTAAAATGTTTTTGTTAAAAAAATTTAATTTAATTTGAAAGTATTTTAAAGTAATAATATTTTATTTATAAATTAAGGGAAAACACTTAAAGGAGAAGATGCTCCTTTAGCATCTCAACTTAATAGCTGGTTAGATGATCATCCTGGTTGGGAAGTAGCTGAAGAATCTGATGATGAAGAAGAAGATGAACAAGATGATGAAGATGGAAATAATCAAAAGGCTAAGAAAAGTAACAATGAAAAAGGAGATGAATTGGAACCAATCAAGAAAGCTAAAATGGAAGATGATGAATATAAGAATGCATCAGAAGAACATACCTACTACAGGTTAAAATCTACTTACAATTTTACATTTCTACCCATGATTTTTCTTTTTCTTTACTTCATAATCATTTTTTTTTTAATTCAGCATTGCTCATACCATACATGAAAGTGTCACTGAACAAGCTTCCATTTTAGTGAATGGTAATCTTAAAGAGTATCAAATTAAGGTAAATTAAATTCAATATTTTCTAATTATTTAATGAATTGTATAAGTTTATATTTTTAAAAATTGCTCACTGATATAAAATTTATTAATTTTTAATATTTAGTTTTGGCCAACAAAATAAAATCCACTTTAGTGGTATTTTTTGTAGTAGTAGGCTAAAGAAGTGTAAGTCATTATTAAAAAAAAAACCCATTATAAAAATGAGTTTTACATGAAATAAATATTTTAAATTTAACACCTAATTTTGTTTCAATAATAATGATAAATTTATGCCTTATTACCATATTTATGAAATTTTAAAGTCATTATTCATATAAATTCTTATATAATTAAAATATTTCAAATGACTTCTGAAAAACAATTCAAATAAATTTACATAACTTACACTTAAACTCTTACTTTCATTGTATTATTAATATATTAAACATTATTTTAGAGAACAATCATTAAAATGCATAATTTGTTGCATTATTTACTTATTTAATTAAACCTAATTTATAATTTTAGGGTCTTGAATGGCTAGTGTCATTATTTAATAATAATTTAAATGGAATACTTGCTGATGAAATGGGCTTAGGTAAAACAATTCAAACTATTGGACTCATCACTTATCTTATGGAGAAAAAAAAAGTTAATGGACCATTTTTAATTATTGTACCATTATCGTTAGTACTACTATACTTTTTTTATTATAAAATGTTATTTTTTAGCTTCGATGCGAATTTATAATTTATTTTAATTATCTTATATTAGGACATTATCAAACTGGGTGTTGGAATTCGAAAAGTGGTCTCCATCAGTCTGTGTTGTTGCTTATAAAGGCTCTCCAATTATGCGTCGTACATTACAAGCACAAATGCGTTCAACTAAATTCAATGTTTTATTGACAACTTATGAATATGTTATTAAAGATAAAGCAGTTTTGGCTAAAGTAATTTTGAACTTATTAATATTGTACTAAACATTAATTTTTATTACTTATAATGTCAATTTTTTAATTGAATATTTTATCTATACATTTATAGTTACATTGGAAATATATGATAATTGATGAAGGTCATCGTATGAAAAATCATCATTGTAAACTAACCCAAGTTTTAAATACTCATTACAATGCTCCACATAGATTATTGCTTACTGGAACACCTCTTCAAAACAAACTTCCCGAATTATGGGCCTTGCTTAACTTTTTGCTTCCATCTATTTTTAAATCTTGTTCTACTTTTGAACAATGGTTTAATGCTCCATTTGCAACAACTGGAGAAAAAGTGAGTATTTATTTTTTGTTTAGTTAAATGTAGTTGTATTATTTATAAAAATCTGATTGTAGGTGGAATTAAATGAAGAAGAAACTATTCTTATTATTCGTCGGTTACATAAAGTATTACGACCATTCTTATTACGTCGTTTAAAAAAAGAAGTGGAATCACAATTGCCTGATAAAGTGGAATACATTGTTAAATGTGATATGTCTGGTCTTCAACGTGTTTTGTACAAACATATGCAAAGTAAAGGTGTTTTGCTTACCGACGGTGCTGAAAAAGGAAAACAAGGCAAAGGTGGTGCCAAGGCACTTATGAATACAATTGTGCAATTACGTAAGCTGTGCAATCATCCATTCATGTTCCAGAGTATAGAAGAAAAATTCTGTGAACATGTTGGAACTGCAGGAAATGTTATTCAAGGGTAATATTTTATTTATATTATTTTCTTAGGCATAGGTAACAATTTTCTTAATATATTTATAGGCCAGATTTGTACAGAGTATCGGGAAAATTTGAGTTGCTTGATAGAATTTTGCCTAAATTAAAAGCAACTAATCATAGAGTTTTGTTATTTTGTCAAATGACCCAATTGATGACTATAATGGAAGATTACTTAGGATGGCGAGGTTTTGCTTACTTAAGACTGGATGGCACTACTAAAGCTGAAGACAGAGGGGACTTATTAAAAAAGTTCAATAGTGCTAACAGTGAATACTTCTTGTTTTTGTTAAGTACTAGAGCTGGTGGTTTGGGTTTGAATTTACAAGCGGCTGATACAGTTATTATATTTGATTCTGATTGGAATCCTCATCAAGTAAACTATAAACTTTCATTAATATTATTAGTTTTTGACTATTTCTAAATATTTCATTATTTTTTCTAGGATTTACAAGCCCAAGATCGGGCCCATCGTATTGGTCAGAAAAATGAAGTAAGAGTATTACGTTTGATGACTGTTAATTCTGTAGAGGAGCGTATTTTAGCTGCAGCTCGTTATAAATTAAACATGGATGAAAAAGTTATTCAAGCTGGTATGTTTGATCAAAAGTCCACAGGATCAGAAAGACAACAATTTCTACAATCAATTCTTCATCAAGATGATGGAGATGATGAGGTAAATATTTAAAACATTTAACAGTTTTGTTGTATTTTACTAATGCTAATAATATTAAATTATATAACTATACTATCATTTATTGTTTAGGAAGAAAATGAAGTACCTGATGACGAAGTTGTCAACCAAATGATTGCTCGGTCTGTAGAGGAATTTGAAACATTCCAAAAAATGGATCTTGAGCGAAGGAGAGAAGAAGCTAAACTTGGTCCTAACCGTAAATCACGACTTATAGAAATTTCTGAATTACCAGAATGGCTTGTTAAAGATGAAGAAGAGGTAATTGTTTAACAACTATAGTAGTTTAAAAGTACAAAAAATAAAATAACTCAACTATTTTCATATAATTACTATAAACTAATTTGTTAATCAACAGACCATTTGTATGATAGAGTAAAAATTGTGACTGGGGGCAAATTTTTGTATAGTAATTGATATACTCTTAAGTTGTAAAAATTGTAGTCAATATAATACTATTTATTAACTAATATGTTTAGATAAAAAAATAATATTAAAAATAAAAATTTTAGGGATAGACATAATGTAATATTAAATAAATATTAATCACATAACCGTGATTTTTACTAACTGTTATTTCATGTAAAATATTTTCAGGTTGAGAGATGGACATATGAAGAAGATTCAGAAGAGATCATGGGTAGAGGATCACGTGTTCGTAAAGAAGTGGATTATACTGATAGTTTGACAGAAAAGGAATGGTTAAAAGCAGCATTAGATGAAAATGTTGACGATTTTGATGATGACGAAGAAGAAGAAATAAAATCAAACCGCAAAGGTAATCGTGGAAAAAAAAGAGGAAGAAGAAATGCTGATGATGACGATGATCCTCCAATAAGAAGACGTAAAACTGTTGGACCAGAAGAATTGAAACTTCGAAAAAAAATGAAAGCTATAATGAATATAGTTGTCAAATATACAGATGCTGATTCTAGAGTGTTAAGTGAACCATTTATGAAGCTACCTTCAAGGCATAAACTTCCCGATTACTATGAAATAATCAAAAAACCACTGGATATTAAAAAAATTATAGCAAAAATTGATGATGGAAAGGTATATTGGATTTATAATTATTTTATATATTCAATTTTATTTAATAAAAAACAATTAAACATTTTTTAGTATGCCGATTTAAATGAACTAGAATCAGATTTCACACAATTATGTAAGAATGCACAAATATATAATGAAGAGGCATCATTAATTCATGAAGATTCCATAGTATTGCAATCAGTTTTTACTAATACTCGTCAAAGGTTAGAGACAACTGATATCAATGAATCTGGACCAGAAGATGGCACTAAAAGTATATTCTTTTAATTTAATAATTTTAAATGAAAAAATGAATTTAAAACAAATATTCCCAGGGTATTCAGGAAAACCAAGTATGATGATATCTGACAAGGATATAATATCACTATCATAAAAACCAATAGTGATACTAATTACTGTCGGATATCATCTGTACTTGTCCCAAAGATACCCCATTCCTAATGTGCTGGGTTTTTTTTATTTTGTAGTACATTTCAAAAACTTTAATTTGATAAAAGTTAGAAGTTATAAAATATTTTACTTATAGAATATTATATAATCGTTTATTAAACTATGTTTAAAGCATGCAGAATTTCCAGAACATTTTCAAAAAACGAGTTCATAAATAATTTTACGTGAATGTATGGTCTCAATTAAACCTTTCCATTAAAGAAAAAATTATATTTTATCAGATTTTCAAAAAAAAACCAAAAGATAACTTATTGTCTCTAGTATACTCTAATAAAATTTTATTAGAATCGGTATTTTTTTTTTTTTTTGAAAAAGTTAAATTAGTTTTAAAAACTTTTTGAAAGCGTCAATTTTTATGGTATTTTTATTTTGAGATATTTTTCTAAATTTCTAGAATTGGGGAGTGTTTCCAATTTTTTAATGATAGATTCAACTAGATTAAAAAGGGTTGTTTTGACGTATTGTTTATTAATATCGGTCTAGTAAAAGCTGAAATTAGTATAAACTGCAATGCCGTATAAAAAAAAAAAAAGAGGAGTTAAGGGATCAATCATACTAATTTTTTATTCAAAAATATTTATTTTGACTTTTAACATCTATAACTTTAAAAAGTTTTACACCGTTTAACTTTTTAAAATATGCACAACTAGGTGATTTTTTTATTTTAAAATACCTTGCAAGGGGAGACCATTGATTTTCATAAAAGTGGTATGAATCTCATTGACATAGAATATAAAGTTAAACTTATTTAAAATTTGTTTGCTTCTTTTAAGTTAAGAAAAACTACTGAAATTTTGAATTAGCTTAAATTGTTCCTTTTATCAACAGAAAAATGTTATATATAGTAACATTAAGTTTTTCATGCTCAGAGTACAAGGTTCAAATTTGTCCTGTCAAAATTACATTTTTTAAAAATTCTTTTTTGGTTGAAAAATAATCACAACTAGTATCTAGTTAAAGATATTACCCTTAATAATTAAAAAAATTTACCCTTTACCAAATAAAAAGTTGCTTAACGAACTTTCTCCATACAGTCAATTAAAATCATTCATTTCTAATTTTTTTAATGTATATATTGTCGAATTAGGTTATTTCTTAGTATTTAACTCTATTTGTGTGTTCCACTACCAGTACATAATATTCCAAATATTTGGTAGCATGTTATTGTATAAATCATTTCTATAAAACTTCACTTTTGGTTTCATCTAAATTTAAAAATGGATTTTTACAATTATAATGAATTTTTATTATATTTTCAGTTGAGTAGATTTTTTTAACAACTTTTTGATTGTTTATTTTGTGTTTTGATGTGAAACTAAGAAGATATTGGTCTTATAATGCTTTGCAAGCTTTTTATGTCTGCAACTAAAAATTCTCAACTTTTACTGGTACAATTTTAATGATAAATAGTAAAAAAAAACCTGAATTTAACAATGGATTTTTACAATTATGATCAATTTTATAATATGTTCGATTGAGTAGATATTTTTTAGTTAAAGTAAATTATTAAAATTAATTGAGGTTTAATATTTCAATTGTAAAATGTTTTTAAACACCAAGAATTAGATAAAAATGATCATTTTGAAATGATTTATTATGAAAAAAAGGAAATAGGAGTTGATGTTTATTTTGGAATAGCCCACCAATTTCTTAAAATTAAACACTACAGATTTGTACCTAGCTACAGAGAGGGATTCAAACTAGCACCTTTTTCAATTTAATTTTTGAACATTTTTTTAAATGTATGTAAAATTAAAACTTATGTTATGTACTATAAGTTAAAAAAAAAAAATTGTCATGCCATGGCCATAGAACAAATTTTTAAATATTTATTCATATATTACACTTATATATCATATAACTTGTAATCATGATATAAATAAGGAAATAAAAGTTCATTTTGCTTTTGGAATAATCCACCAATTTCTTAAAATTAAACATCATTTACAGATTTGCATCAAAGCTTTTCTTATGTTAGTGATATTTTAATCACTGTTAGATATCATCTATACTAGTTCCAACTATGCCACATCCATATTGTACCGTAACCCTACTGTGATAAGGTTTTTTTTTTAAATTAAATTAGACCATTATTTTTTTTAATGAATTTATTCTTTTTTTAAATATTTGTATATTGAATTTTATGATCGACTTTTACTTTAATTACTAACAATTTGGATTTTATTTTAACTTAGATAAAAATTATAGTATTAATTTTTTTATTTAAAAATATGTATCTCACAAAACAAGGGATACAATACTATGAAGTAATATTATTAAACTAAACTAAAATTTTTGTTTTTAGGTGAAGATGAAATATCTGATGCTGATACAACATCCTCTTCAGTAAAAATGAAATTAAAGATGAAAAATCGTGGTAAAGGCTCTGAAGTAAGAACTTCCAATCGAAGAAAAAAAAAGAAACAAATCAGTGATGATGATGATGATGAGGATGATTCTAATTTGTAAACTTTTTAATACTTAATTGATTTTAATTGATAACCTCATTTTTGTGTTATGTTAGGTTATTTTAGAAATTTACTTTTTCTAAAATATTTTGAATTAGATTTAATCTTTAAGTAAATAATAAAAATAATGTATTACTATATTTGTTTTTTAATTATTAAATTTATATTATATTATAATACACTGGTTGTCACTGAATTTTAAATGAAATTCTTTTTAACTATTTTCTTTATTGGTTTATTTATTTTCAGTTTCCAGTAAAAAGTATACAATAAATGATACTTTCATAAAATAATCATTGTAATGGTTTCACATTAAAAGATTTATTCTTGAATATTATCACTCTTAAAAATGTCTAGTTAATCAATAATATTACTTATGTTATAAAAGTTTGTTTTCTAAAATATTAATGAAAAACTTTTTAAACATATTATAATAAACTAATGTATTATTAAATTGAACTTCTGGTGTAAATTCATACTCTAATTTAAATTAATAATTTCAGTAGCATTTGGATTGATTACTTCTACTACAGACAGTTCTTCAGTTTTGAAAGAAAATTAATAGAAGAAGACTGAATATATAAATAATACGTTTGAGACTAAAGTGATGAAAAGAGTATGTGATAGATGTGGTTAAAAGTTTTAAATATTTAGGATATTTTGTACAAAATAATGGTAGTATTTGTGTGAACATGAGACATAGGATTAATTATGGATGGATCATGTTAAGAATACATATATGGTGTGAGAGGAAGCATAGGAGTAGCATCGATCATGGAAAAGATGGGAAAAAATGATTTTAAATGGTTTGATAAAATTATGAGAAGAGAAATCGAAACCCTAAAGAACCCTACTAGAGTCTTTCGTCGGAGAATAACATGATAATTTACAAAAGATTTCAATTTAATTATTTAATATATAATACACTTTCATTTTTAAAAAGTTATAAATGCATTAGCATTAAGTAACATTAGTGTGTTTACAAAAATAAAAAAGTGAAAATGTTAACAAAAACTCCAACAAAAAATAATAAAATGTGATGGTGTGGCCAAAAATTTAGGCCATTATGTTACAACAATATGAATAAAATAAGAGACATTTTGTAACAAGTAAGGTTTTATAGTTGCTTATTTTTCTTTTTTTGCAATTTTTTTTGATATTGATAGTTTTTAGACTTTATGATTGAATAGAAAAATAGTTATGGTACGAACATTGGTGCTAAATAATTTTACAATAATCACAATTTTTTTTTAAAGAAACATGATGTTTGTTTACTGTTATCTATTTAGGATTACAAACTTTTTTTTGTAGATTGTAGAGTTCTTTAGATTGCGGGATGAATTCGTATACTACTCTTCCTCTGCAAAGAATACTTCATTACATTACTGATATAAAGAGTCGCATTAATTCATAACTCGATATTTGTCCAAAAAATCACACCATTATTGTATCTTTTACAATATAAGGATTTTTATAAGATTAAAATAATAATAATAACAATATAATAAAAATTTAAACAAAAAGAACGTGTATATAGTTATTAAAACCCCTATAAGAGAGATCTTGTAGAATTATTGTTGAATATTGATTAGAAGTATCTCAATAACTTTTAATACGCTATAACTACATTTGATTATTTTTAATAACAGATCTTCAAGCAATAACTAAAATATTCTATCTGCTTAGACAGTGTATATATGATAGAACCTTTTGGTTTTCGAATAGCCAGATATCTAGGAAAAAAAAATTTTTGGATGCCAATTTAATTTCTCTTTTTGATATCCTTCTCCAACTAGTAAACTAACCTCTCCTAAATTTATTAGAATTCGACAAAAAAGAAACATAATTTAGAGAAAACTTAATTCAGTTTTATTTTGGCCTAGTCTTACACAATTTTTGTTTATGATGATTGTATTATTTATTTACTTATTTATCATAAGTATGAATAAATAACGTTGAAAATAAAATAATAATAATAATAATATATAAACATAAAATAATTGCCAATCAAAATACCTATCTAATATATAATGATATTGGATATTCCAATAGATATTTCATATTAGTGATATTATTAATACCACAACCTGATTAACTAGAACCTAATTATTTCAGTCCAATGGGACACCAAATGAATATGTCTATTTCTTCAGTGCGTAATAGTCCTCGATAGGGTTACCATCGATAAGTGTGTTCATTTTCAAACTGCCCTCAAATGAGAGTCAAAATTAAAATGACAAATTTAAGAACATTGTTGATCGTTATATGTGTAATCGCAGGTTTACAATTACAAATCTACTGTAAGTGATTATTTACAGATTAAATAAATTTATTTTAATTATTTATGTCTTTATATTTAAACCAAATGCGTTTATTCAGAAAAAAAATCAAGAATCATAAAAATAAATTAAAATTTTAAACTTTTATACCACAAATATAATTTTTAATATTTTATTTGATAATTTGTGACAGAGAAGCAACATTTCTCTCTAATTAAAATTATTTAAAATGACAACTATTATTTAGCCATTCATTAAACAAATTATAATTTGTTTTTGTAAAAAACTATAAAATGTGTTGCGATTTACATTATTTTATACAATGTGATAACTGTTAACTATGTCTTTCAAAATATTAGATAAAATACATTTTTTCCTTTTCAAAAGTTTATCTATACACTTGAAATAGCAGAAAAATATATAGCTCTATACTCTTTTCTTTCCCCTTACAATTCTGTGTCATCTTTAGTTTATTAAATGTTTACATGCATGTTTAAATGATTAAAAAAAATTATATTGTATTTTATAACTTTGAATATATTACGTGAGACATAGTTCGTCAATTACTCTGTCTATTAGTTTTTTTTTTAATAAAATACTGAATTATTTATATAAGATTTCTGTTAATAATTAACCATTCATTCAAAGAAATATTATAATTTGTTTTAATTAAAAACTATAAAAATTTCCTGCGATAATTTTATACAAGATGATTCACTAACTACGTCTTACGTAAAAACTTCAAAAGTATAAAATAAAATATATTTTTTTTCTTTTTAGAAGTTATCAGTTGATCTATACACTTAAAATAACAAAAAAAAAAATATAGCTCTAACTCATTTTCTTTATCATTAAAATGTTATCATCTTTCTTAAGATGTTTTTTAAATGAAAACACATTTAACTAGATAAAAAATAAATATAGTTTAAAAAAACTGAAAAACACGTTTTTAAAGCATATCGAACTATAAAGTTTAAAATAATTTTTAAAATAAGCTTATAACAATAATGAACGAAAAATACTGGTGTTATTATGAAAAAAATCGTTGGGCGCTCAATATACGAAAAATATGGCACAAAGCACCCACACTTTTTCACAATAATGTTAGTATTTTTCGTTCATTATTGTTTTAAGCTTATTTTTAACTTTTTAGTTCAATATGCTTTAAAAGCGTGTTTTTCAGTTTTTTTAAACTATATTTATTTTTTACTTTTTAGTTTTTTTATGACATCGCTGTTACAGTCACGGAGTGATTATTGTCATTTATGACTATTATTAAATATAATTTCTGTATTGCCAGTTAGTGTGTTAATAAACTCACAACAATGTGTCTTGTTACCATTGATAATAAAGGCTATATACCTGTGAATATCGTCATAAAAAACCAATTAGCTACTTGTTTGTAACCCCATATATATTATACAAGTATGTTAATTCAAAAAAATTTGAACCTTTAAATATTTATATCTAATTATAAACAATTAAAATTTATTTATATATAATTGATGACACGCACGCGTGTATGGGTACGAAAACTAAAAATAAAATTATACAGGGAAAATATTGTTTTTTTGATTGGTGAGCAGGGTGGGGTGAATGCGTTACAACAGTCTAGTCCCAAGGCCATAGACGACGGGATACCGAGGATAATAACACGTGTCGCGTGGAAAGTTTCAAACAAACATACATACATACAGGTGAGACTAATATAAGCGTGTTAATAAAAAAAATATCGAACTAAGAAAATAACTGGTTGATAGCAACCTTTGAACTATTCTTATAAAAAGTATTAAATGCTCAGAAATAAAAATAAACTGATTCGCGCTTCACTTCCAATTTTTATATTAAAGTGTTAATAACATCCAAAATATTGGTTAAAAATAGTTATCGACGAGCCATTTTTTTAATTCGATATTTGTACGGCAGTTAAATGTGTTTCCACTTAAAAAATTAATGATTTTAAAATTTGAAGGGGGAGATGGGATTATAAACTATATTTTTTTGTTAATTTAATTGTGTAGGATACTAATAATCAGTGGTGGATCGTGCCTTGGATGACGGGTCGATCGCACCTCCTACTAAAACTTAAAGAAGAAAATTAATTATATATTCTTAATTTTACATTTTTATTAAAAATGCAAATTTTTAAATAGTAAAATAGTTATAATACATTTGTCGTGTGCAAACATTAAAGTTATTTCCCTCAGTATATGTGGGTACTCACGAGCAGTGTTTGGACTACCGACAACGTCGTCCACTCATTAAATTGTTAGTATATTACTATAATAGGCTCCGCCCCAGATCCGGAGCCCTACGAGCCTTTGGCGCGTAAGCCTCTTCGGGCCGTCATCATAAGTAGGCTACTGATTCCGGTAGGGTACCTGGCTACGCCGTGCACGATAAGTGTTTTGCAGAAAAAATATTACATCAGAATCAGTGTTACAAAAATATATTAAAAATGTTATTATTAAAATCAGGAAAATTCAAAAAGAGAATATAGTAAAATGTATGGGTATAAGGTTGACGTTTGTTAATGAGGTATTCCCTTTAGGCCTATTCAAAAATTATTTTAGGAGGGTATTTAATATTTTTTACTTTGTTAAACATGTTATAGAATTATTTTGCTAAAAATTAAAGTAATGATGAAAAAAAGGACATTAGGTCCTTATTTATTAGAAGTTGCCTAAAAAAATATTGATAGCGCTGGTTCAAGGGTGGCCCATATCTCCCCCTTAAATACTCCCCTGGTATACACAAAAATTATTAATATTCTAATTATAATAATTGTGTTTATATTATAGAATAATTTAAAACAAATTCAGCAGGTTATTATCCGTGGGACTATGTAAAAAATTTAATTTTGATAAAAATATTGGTAACTGCGATTTAACGTTGGGCAACATAGTTGTCATAGATGAATTCCAATTTAAACGATTAACTCATAGACAAATACATCATATATGAGAAAGAAAAGATTATTAATAATGTACTGTTCTGATAATGAAACTACAAACTTATATAATTATAATCGTCTTGAAATTTATATATAACTTATAATATTCCTCGATAAAATATAGTACTATGTGCAAATGCAAAATAGTGTCCTAATAAAAATACATATTACACCATATAATTAAGGTTTATAATAAACTTATATTAAAACCATGCGCGTTTTTCTCGGAAACGGTCAAAATTTTAAAACGCTCGCGGGCGAGCGGTAAAAATTTATGGAGTATGGTGACCGAGTACTTTCGTCGAAAAAAAAAATTTTGAAAATCCGAGCACGCTAAGTAATTTTCCAAAAAAAAATCATTTTTTTCCTTGTTCTATTATATAATAAGATATTATAGGACGCGTACATGTGTTATTGGCATACAGAAAAATCGTTATTTTTGGTTAAAATTTGATGAATTTCAAACGCTCGTAGCGGCCAGAGTTTTGGTGGGATCTCGGATTTTCGGATTTTTGGCGCTTCCTCGACACGTACAGAACGCCGTGGTATGATTGCGAATCGTAAAAAAAATCGTTTTCATGTCGTAAAGTGTCGCAAGAATTTCGGGCTGCGCGCCCTGACGTCTCGAGCGCGTGAAAAAAAAAAAAGCTCGTAAAACAGTGAAAAATGAACGGATTAAAATGATTTTTGTACCATATCTCAAGAATGTCATAGGGCCGGTCTGATGAAAATTTCAAACCTTAAGTCGTAAAACGCTGGCGTCAGCGAGCGTTTTTCTCGGAATCGGTCGAAATTTTAAAACGCTCGCTGACTCGCGGCAAAAATTTTCCGACCTTCGCTAATAATTTTCCTGGAGTCTAGTGACCGAGTACTTTCGTTGAAAAAAAAAATTTTGAAAATCCGAGCACGCTAAGTAATTTTCCCAGAAAAGCGTTTTTTTCCTTGTTCTATTATATAATAAAATAATAAATCTTATTATATAATTTATTTTTAGAATTAACTACGCGTACGCTCATCGTTATCGTTTGTATTCTGCTGCGACTTTTAAAATAATAATATGTTGTGTATTATTTTATTATATTTAATTTGACAATTTTTTGTACCTATAACTAGCGGTATTATATTTAAAGTCCACCAACACCGTCAGCATCCACAAGCTACCACTGCTACTAAATTTTTAAAAGAAAATTATTATATATTGTCTGTAGTTCATTATATTGCGTTATTGTATCACTATACCCTATATAACAGATGCATACACTAAGAAAGATCAAACCAAAGTGAAATAAACCTATTTCATCGCATCAATAACTCAAGTTTCTTTTAAAAAAAATTTTAATTTGACATTTCTTTATTTTTTAAAATTTAAAGCAATATCATAATTAAAAATTGCCCTTTAGGAGAAAAATTTTGACCATTATAAACAATTTTACTATTGTTAATTAATGTATAATAGTTGATTTTTAAGGATTGACGACGCAGTTATGTAACAATCCGGTTTGGTATAAATTAACGAAATATCGCTGATTAAGCTAAAAATTTCGGTAAAACTCCATAAATTTTTTTTATTTTTGTGTCTGTTATGTCGACTGCTCATAATATAATATTAATACAGCGAATCAGAACGTTGATAACTTAATGTTTTTCATAATTCATATGTTATTAAACTATATGATTAACAATAATTAAACGTAGATTGAATTTTAAATATACATTTTTAGGTCATTTGTTAACTTATAAAAATATATAATAAAATAACGTTAAGTTTTAAATTATATAATTTGACATTATTAAATTTCAGCTTCAATGTTTATCCGATAAGGTATTAATCTTACTATAATTTCTTTATTTTTTTTTGTACTTGCACCACTTTCACAGCTCTCACAGAACTAATTTTACTTAACATTCAACAAAAAATCAAAAATTGTATTTAATTTAAGACATTAATCTTGAAGTTTGAAAAAATAATCCTTGTTTCCTGTAAATGGGGAAATTACACAAAAAAATTACAATTTTTGAAATCGGCATTTTTTGATTTTAATTAAATTTTGTTTACTTAAAATTGTCATAATTTTTTAGAAAATAAATTGATCAAAAAATGTTTTTTAATTTAAATACCTTAGGTAGTTCTATTTTATTTGGCATACATTTTTTGCAAATTTGACCCTTTGCTTACCTGATTGTTTTCTTTTTTAGAGGAGGTTTAAAACTTGAAATAAACGTATAATAAGTAGAACTTTTACAATTTAACTTTTGAAATTATTTCGGAAATCCTTCATCCTTTAAACTTATTAAATAGAAAGTTATATAATATTCTAAAAGTTGAAATTATAAATTTTTCTAAAATACCACTTCTCTTTTATATGTATTAAACCGTTTTTCATGTTGTTAATTTCTGTTTGAATTTTTTTTTCAATTATTAATAACTTTACTGTAGTTCAAACAATATAGTCATATAAGAAAAGATGGTAAATAGCGTAATTCAAACCTCCTTAAAAAATAAAATTAGCATTTAAGTATTAATTATAATGATTATAAATTTTTTATTTATTTTCAGCAACCGAACTATCTTTTATTTTTATTTTATCTATTCTAGTAATAATAGAGTAATTGTGTACACTATACATTATAAGTAAAGAAATGTACAAAGATAGTTAATTTTTCTTGTTCTTAAATTGGTTATTTTTAAATACTAAAATTAAAATGTAAACTACAAGTTTGCATCGAAATATTTTTTAAAAGAGTCAATTAAATTACTGTCAGAATTCAATACCACTAATGTCCACTATTTCTCGTCTCGAAATTACTAAGTTTTTTTCTTTTATATTTTTATGATAGGTTAGAATAATGGCAAGAAAATTTAAAATTCTTATTTTAGTTGTTAAACGAATAGCAAATTATTATATTGATACCATTGATCTGTTAACTATTAAAATAAAAGTATTGTTATGTAACTATACGTAATAGCATTTTCCATAATGAGACACACGACATACAAAGTAATTAGTAGTATCGAAAATCCAAAGAACACGGTAATCGTCATTAGCAATAATGTAGCCGATTATTTAACTCCAGTTAAGTGCCTCAAGCCTGTAACACGTTTACGTCAACGAGTCTATCTCGGGTTAAGTATGCAGTTTTTTTCTGCTGCCTCTATATTGAATCAGTGAGAGTCAAAGGCAGTTTCATTGTCAAATTAAAGACAAAATCTAGACGAAGGAAGAAAACTTTGATAGTGTATACTGTCCCTGTCTCCATTTCTTTCCATTATTTTATTATAATTGTCTTTTGTCTGTATTAGAGTCAGTTAAAAATTGTCTACTACTATTATTATATGTATTATTTATTAATAACCTTCCAACGTACTCGAGCTTGATTATTTATAAAGCTTATACTTTTATTGACACCATAAACATACCTATTTCAACTATCAACACGACATATTTTGAGTATTTCAGACTATTATTTTTAAATAATAAAATATATATATATTTAGATTATTCAGAAGTGTCATTTTAGATTCTACTAAAAAGAGGAAAATTGTTGACTGGCCCACCATTTTACAAATCGATTGTTTCACTCGTAGTTCATGTTTTAACATCTCAAACCTATTACCCATAATATAAAGATTACCATGATAGGACTTTTTCTACAATCATTTTAACGAAAATAAATAATTTAGAAATAAGGAGTTTAATTATTTATTTAAATAAAAAATTTAGATTAAAGAAAATTATATATTTAATCATTTATGTGTAATTTTCATTTAATTGTTAAATTATACATATATATTAGTTGTATAAGAAATTTCACTAAAACTATTAAAAATGGCTGTAAAGACTAGAACTAAAGGATTTTCTTTTATATTTTAAATATGAAATAGTAAGTGTCTTTTTCATTGAATAAAAATTAATTTTTACTTCATTTCTTTGATTATTGTAAATTGCTTTTTAACGAGGAATAAATTTTCCTAAAGTACGTCTCGGTCAGTAAAAGTGTGAATTAACTAGTCCCAGTTATCGTTACAATAACTGGGACAAATGCCTAAGTTCCCACCCCAAATGTCTCTGGGTTCCTACAATAACTTTTGTGTAATGTTATTTTATTTAAATTTTTTTCATTTATTTTGTTTATATTATATTACCACGTTTAGAATTTACTTTTTTACTATTTTATCAGCTAACATTTTCATATAACTTGAAGTTTTACTGTTTATAAATAAATAAATAAAATAAATTATATTCTAATAAAAATATTGTTAAAGTGATATAACTAGTACCCATAAAAATAAAATCTGATTTAGGTGATGGTCAACAGTTGGGAATTAAATCGTTGAATATATTAAAGAAACCATCTGAAAATATCAATAGTTTTATACAAAAGAGTTCTACAGATGATACAAAAAGTAATTCTTTACTTAAAAATATTATCAACACAGGATCACAGACGATAAATGGAGTACAGAATATCACTGGTACGGCCATTAATAAGACAATGGAAGATTGTCTTACATCGGCTGGTTGTACCAAAGCAAGTTTAAATAAAATACCAAATATAGCAAGCGGATTGATAGATTGGTCGAAGTCATCTATAGAAGATGTTATCACTAAAGCAAAATGTATTATACCCAAAGACGCAAATAGTATTACTAGAGCTGCTCTCCTCCAACAATGTTTATCCCCTAGCTTCGGTAATAATTTTTATTGCTCTCATTTAAATAAATAAATATTTTTTCGAAAATAAAATAGAATATTATATATTAACATTTTTGATTTTTTGTATTTGTGCCTCTCTATAAGCTTAAGCTAGAGAGAATAGGAAAACCTACACAATGTACAAAACGTTGGGTAGGATTATTTAAAATCATAATTAACAACTAATTTAAAATTTTGATTTAACTCTTTATATGAAAAATACAATGCTTTTAATTAAACATGAGAATAAAAATAGAAAAACAGTAACTTCAAAAGTTTTAAATTATATATTGGATAATTTTGAATAATAATTAAAAAAACAAGCAATTTTGAAAAACATGTTTTATTTTTTTTTATTTTAATTTAATAATTCATAAAAAATTTTTTTTAGGGAATGGTAATGAAACACGATGCTTTGATGGGCTCGGTTGTTTCCCTATGGACAACCCATGGACTTCACTTTTAAGACCGTTACCCATGCCTATGACACCTGATGAAATAGGAACCAAATTATATTTGTACACAAGGTATATATAAAGGTTTATACGTAAATAAATGTATTAATTTAAGTTGTTTAAAACTTTTGTTTAAAAATATATTCTTTTAGAAATAAGCCAGAGCGATACCATGTTAATCTTTGGCCTGATATATCAATAGAAGGATCCGACTTTAATTCAAAAAGGCCTTATACAGTATTCATAACGCATGGATATATACACAATGGTAACGAATCATGGCTTTCTGATCTCAAAGATTCATACTTAAAACAAGTAATAATTTAGTTTATTATATACATATTATATGTTTTGTATACATTACAAGGTATTTATAGACAAAACTTGGGAAAAGACATTTTTATAAAAAAAAAATTAAAAACGTAATGGATTTTAGTCTCGTAATAAAATTATACCAAAATACTTCAAACTATTTAACATTTTAAAGGAAACACAGGGATTTTATTTTTAATTTTTAGTTAAAGTCAAACTAGTATACTAAGTTTTAACTTCAAAATTTGATGGTCTAATTAAAGTGCAAGATTTTCAGTACACTCAAAAGAAAAAACAATAATAATTTTTAGATTTTAATCTAATAAATAATTGCTTGCTTTTAGCGTGATGCAAACGTATTTTTAGTCGATTGGGGTAGGGGTTCATTTCATCTTAATTACTTGCAAGTAGCTTCCAATACTAGGATTGTTGGCGCAGAATTGGCCAGGTAAATATATTTAATCAAAACTATCTTAATTTAACTCAAATTAAATTTATTGTTATCGATATAAGATTTGGAAAATACTTGACTAAACAACAAGGGCTAGATCCTTCAAAAGTTCACTTGATGGGTCACAGTTTAGGAGCTCACATATCTTCTTACTTTGCAAAGAACTTTCCTGGTGTTGGTAGAATAACTGGTTTTGACCCCGCTCAGCCTGGTTTTGAAGGATGTCCAAAAGAAGTTAGATTAGATAAGAGTGATGCTGAACTTGTAGATGTAATTCATACTAGTTGTCGTCCATTTATTCCATTTTTAGGTTTTGGGCTCATTGAACCAGTGGGTAAAGAATGCATTATTTAATTTTTAAATTTACTTTTTTTGTGTAAAATATATAACAGATAGTGATTTATATTTTTAGGTCATGTGGACTTATACATGAATGGAGGAGCATTCCAACCCGGATGCGTTGCACCCCCTTTCGAAAGGGTTAAAGTTCAAAGTATTGCAGATTTGGCTGTTGTTCCTATATTTGGTATTTTATTAATACATACATTTATATGTGTATTAGGGTGGTCCTCAAATTTGAAGTTAAATTTTTTTATATTACTGTGAGCAAACATTATTTCAAAAACAAGAAATTACACAAATAAAATTCAGATATTAATTAGTAGATCTAAACTTGTTCTATAAAATACGTATTTACATATTTCCATTAAGTTTGTTATTTAGCGTGTAAAATTTAAAAATATAGAATAATTTAATTATTCAACAAAATCGATTTTTTTAAATTGTTTTTTTCGTATCTTACGTATTATCAATTTTACTACAAAAAGTGTCTTACAAAATATATTTAGAATAAAATTTTAAGTAAAAAAGATATCTTCTAAAATTTTAAATTTATTCGTCGTTTTTTTTTTATTGCGAATTTTGTTTCATAAATTGGCAGAAATTACAAGAAATACAAATAAAATTGAACTTTTTTACATTTATATTATTAGAACCATTAATTTAAAAAAATTAATTAAAAAACTATTTAATTAAAATTATAGAAAATTCGGATTATAAACTATTTCCTTGCATATTTTATATCAATTTATGTAGCAAAGAAGCTAATTTTGCAGAAATGAAACAAGTTAAGAAACGTTATTACCGTTATTAATCATTTCAATTGTAGTAAATTTGATAACATTTTATTGAATTTTATTACATTTGTGGCCCTTAAAATATTTTTATAGTGATTTATTTTTGTAAGTTTATTAGTATATATTAGATAAATTTGTTTTAAATGTTAAGAATGCTACGAAAAACAATTTATTTAGTCGGTTCGTTAAATAATCAAATTTTAGGGAGTAAGCTACCTTCTTTAAGATATTGCTTACAAGTTTTATTTTTTAATTTACGTGTTGTAAAACTAAATTTGTCGGAGAGTTCGAACTTGGTGATAGACGTATGTCTCATATACTGGAAAAAAGCAGGAATTCCAACAAAACATATAGCTGATTGTGTAAAAAAGTTAAAAAAATATTATGAAACATGGCGAGATATTGAAAAATCAAAGAGTAGAGTTAATGAAAAACAACAAAATAAGTTGTAATAATTTCAAGAAGAATTAGATAATCTATTTGACATTGCTCACATAAATGCTATTTTATAGCATTTTAAGATATTATAAAAATTGAAGGAGACAAAAAATTTTTGATTTTACAACGACAGCCAGGTCGTCCTGGATGTATGCTGGGAATTGATAAAGAATTATCAGATACAGAAAAAAGAAGAGTCGACAGAAATGAATCGGAGGAAACAAAAAGGCTTAAATTTAATACTGCTTCTAAAGAAATAGGTCCAGGTAAATAACTTAATTTGTATACATATTGTGCGTATTTATATTATTATTTCAACATACCTCAATGTAAAATATATTTTAACTACTAGTCTAGAATATTGGAGTTGGAGCCAAACTACACGTTTCATTAGGACCAGACATTGCAATTTTTAAACGATTTAAAAATACATGGAAAGGAATAAACAAACACAATATAAGTTTGTAGAGTTCAAGTACTTACATGAAATAAATTTTATCTCCAGTTCGTGAAGAATTATTATTATTTTGTTTAGAAACGGTTACAATAACACAACCAAGAGAAGACTATAAAGAGTTTATTGAGCTAGTGATTATTATGCTTGATGGAACTTTACCTGGTGGATTAAATATAAGTCAACCTGGTACTTACCATCAAGCTAGATTGATGGCCAAAGGAATCTACAGTAGCGCTCAAAAGTATTTTGACAAATTAGTTTAGGCCATTAGAAGGCGTAGCCTGCAAGATAATAAGTAGCAGACTATTTTCTAGGGTAGAGCACAGCAGGGTGCAGCTGTTATCTTTTGGAAAAAACCCTGACGATGTGGGCACAGGTTAAAAGGTCCGTTTTTTCTAAATTTAGCGCTCAAAAGTATTTTGACAGGTATATTTGTTAGCGCTAACACCTATTTTATTTTGTGATTATTTTGTTTGGCTGTGTGTTGCCGTTTGTTTACATTGTGCGGAACCTTCTAACTAAAATGCCGAAAGTTAAAGAGTATTCTACTGATCTTAAAGAGGCGGTTATTGCAGCATTACAAAATGGCCGTTCACAAGCTAGTGTTTCTAGAGATTTTGGATTATCTAGACAAATTGTCAGTGTATGGAACAGAAAATTTCAATCCTGTGGTACAGTGAACAATGCTCAAAGATCGGGAAGGCCACGAAAAACAACCGAGAGGGTTGATAGGGACATCCGACGGAGGTCAGTTGCGAATCCCCGCCTCACAGCTGTAGATATTACTCGCGATATAAACATTTCATACGGTGTGAATGTTCATGTTTCAACTGTCAAACGTCGCTTGAACAATTTGGGTTTGAATGGTCGACGACCTAGCAAGAAGCCATTGATTTCTGTAAAGAACCGGAAGGCTAGACTTTCATTTGCTACAAAGTACAAATCTTGGACACCACAGCAGTGGTCGACTGTTTTATTTAGCGATGAAAGTAAATTTAATATATTTTCATCAGATGGAATACGGTATGTTAGACGACCTGTCAATACTCGTGACAATGTCCGGTACCAAGTTCCAACCGTAAAGCACGGTGGAGGGCATGTTATGGTCTGGGGATGCTTTTCGCGAGCTGGTGTTGGCCCTTTGGTCAACATAGAAGGCATCATGGACCGGTTTAAATATGCTGATATTTTAAGAGAGAATATGTTGAGACATGCTGAAGAAACTTTCGGGGGTAACTGGTTATTTCAGCATGACAATGATCCCAAACATGCCTCAAAACATGTTAAAACCTTTTTGGCTGAGAACGGTGTCTGCGTGTTGGAGTGGCCCAGCCAAAGTCCAGACTTAAATCCGATTGAACATCTATGGGACGTGTTGGATAGAAGGATCCGCCAACAAAATATAACCAGCAAGACAACTTTACATCAAGCATTGTGTAAAGAATGGCCCAAAATTCCTATTTCCGTTATTCAAAAGCTTATTGATTCCATGCCAGCTCGGTGTCAAGCAGTTATTAAGTCTAATGGCTACGCCACAAAATATTAGACGTATAATAATATTATACTATAGTTTTGATGTTTTTTGTTTGATATTATTAGAGAAAAAATTTATTTTTGTTGATTTGTTTTTTTGTCAAAATACTATTGAGCGCGGTGATTTAAAAAAAAGTTAATTTCTAATAAATATACTAAAGTTTCTGCACATTTTTTTGTTTCTTTATACCTTTTGCACTTTAAGCTACAACCCAGAGTCATGCGATGTGTTGCACCTATTAAAGTTTTTTTTTAATTCGTTATCAACGCTTTGTCAAAATACTTTTGAGCGCTACTGTATTACTTAAAGATATTTTTATTTCGATTAGAATTCAAATTGACAAAAGCAGAAGAAGAGCAAGCTTTCGAAAGAATTTGTATATTTATAATAAAAGTATATATAAAGTCTTGGTTTACATCTACAAATACAAGTGAAGCTCCCTCAAATGATATAAACTTAATACATACTTTGTATGCATACAGGAATGACGATAATGAAATTGCAAATAGCATACCTCTCAAAATTTTTAAATCATTTGTGGTATTTAAGTGATGAATGCTTAGCTTTTTTTGTGTTTGATACACGACTTCCAGTAGAAATAAAAAAAAATATTGTAGCCAAGTTCAATGAATTGACCTCAAAACATGAAATGCAAGAAGGAGATTTCAATTCAAAAAAACTTTATCTCAAAATTGAGAACGTAGCTGATTTTTTAGCAACAAATTTGACAATGTCACTGTTTACTAAACAATCCTTAAATTTATTTAGAAGATATGGAATAAAGACAACATTTTTATATATAGACCCAGCTGACTGGGAAAAAGACCCATCCTATTTAATCGGAAAACAAATTGTTGACGGACTACAAATAGTCAACGATAGTGCTGAGAGAGGTGTTAAACTCATGGAAGAGTACAATACTAAACACACTAAAAACGAAAATCAAAAACAATTCTTATTACAAGTAATTTAAATAGTAGTATATTTGTTACAAAAATATTTAACTAAAATTAAATTTTTTTTAATATTTAACGTAGTACAAAAATATAGAAAAACTTATCCCGAGTGTACAAAAGAGGCATTAAAAACTCCATTTAAAAAATAATTATAATTATTAATTTATTATTATATACTATAGATTTTAATGGGTAATACTTTTATAGTAATCCTTCTTTTTTAAATCCATTAAAAAAAAATCAATTTTATTTGTATTTCTTGTAATTACTACCAATTTATGAAACAAAATTCGCAATAAAAAAAAAACGACGAATAAATTAAAAATTTTAGAAGATATTTTTTTTACTTAAAATTTTATTCTAAATATATTTTGTAAGACACTTTTTGTAGTAAAATGGATAATACGTAAGATACGAAAAAAACAATATAAAAAAATCGATTTTGTTGAATAATTAAATTATTCTATATTTTTAAATTTTACACGCTAAATAACAAACTTACGAGGAAATATGTAAATGCGTATTTTATAGAACAAGTTTAGATCTACTAATTAATATCTGAAATTTTATTTGTGTAATTTCTTGTTTACGAAATACAAGCAAAAAATGATACAACACCTCATTTGTCCAATTTTTAACCCTTTTGCGGCACGGGAAGGTGTTGACCAATTGCGACCATACTTCATCAAAAATGTTTGCTCATAGTAATAAAAAAATTTAGAGAGTCCTGCAAACAAAAAATAAAAATTTTTTTTCTTTATCTATAACACAGGACCACCCTGTGTGTTTTTGAAATCAGGATTTCATCCAATTTATTTTGTGAGTGAATTATTTTTAATTAAAAATAATTACAACTCACAAAATAAATTTGTACTAACTTAGTACAAATGTGCTGCGAAATTATAACAATCATTAAATGCTACAAATCGCATAACAGCGTCAACATATTGTCCTCCAATAATTGACTATGTAATATTTGCTGAGTTTCTCACTTAAATCGCAGGGCAAATAGTCAAATTTATTTTTTAAATGGGAACAAATATTTTACATTTAATTGTGATGGTGTCACGTTACCATTATTGTACAAAATTATTATAATAAAATACAGAGAACTGCACCTCGTACTTTGTTATACTCCTTACCTGGTATGCCCAGTATTTGTGTCTTACACTTCGTCTGTACCTCATACTTAGCTACCCCGTTTTCTCTTTGAAGTACTTGTGTCTTGCTCTTTCTCTGCACCTCATACCTAGGTGTTACCCTTATTCCCTTCCTATTACAACGGCCTTTCAACAACCACAACTAACCCGGAATAATGTCAGCCGAGCACGGTAACTACTGTATGAACTCAATATCATCGTTGTACACACATTACTCTTCTTACTCTTTGCTCTTTTTGTTTTGTGTTACGACATAATACATTTTTTTTAATAGTAAATTGCGTTAATCATCAATGAAACTCCATCCATTTATTAGATATACTTTAAAGTTTTGAATTTTTGAGTTAAAATACATGTATAATATAGGAGAAATTAAACTAATCTAAGTTATTGGATAAGTTAATAGTTCTGAATGTGTTGAAACTTTCATGGATTATCATATTATTTGAAAAGCTTGAAGATTCAACTGCAAAAATGGATAAATCCTCGAGCTTTTCAAATAAGTTAATAGTTAATGAATTCGTTATCACTCAATTGTGTCATAATTGGAAAATAGAAACTTTATACTTATAACTTTATAATTGATTTTACTGAAATTAAATAAAAATCCCAACGCTATCAAATAAAGATAGTTAATATTTATTAATTAAAAAAATAAGTTTCCATTAGATAAAGTATAGTTTACATCCTTACAAGCCATAAGAAATGCGCTTAAAAGTATTACATAGCTAATAGTTATAAAACAATATTTAACTAAAAATATCCAAAAAATAAATACTCATATTTACTTTTATTCTGCGAATATTATTTTTAATTAAAAATAATTAAAGCTCACACAATAAATTTGTACTAACTTAGTACAAATGAGCTATGTAACAGTAAAAATTGTTAATCGTTAAGTCGCATAGTAGCGTCAATCATTTAGTGAGATGTTAAGAGATTAATACAAAATATTGAATATCAACCATTCCTAGAGTTATCTAAAGAGAATAAATAATATTAGTAGTTTTTTTTTAGTTTTAGGAGAATGGATTGCCTGTTCACATGGACGATCTTTTCTTTATTACAACGAAGCGGTAATGTCCAATGAAAAATGTACGGTTTGGGGACGTAAAACTAATCTTATATCTGGCATTACAAAGTACCTATTTCGAATTTCTAAAATATTTATATGTTTTTATTTTATTTAATAATTTACAGCGTTGTAACAAATGGACAATTGCAACCAATTACATCTCTGTTAAAAAAATGTTCTCTGGAAGATTGCATTCCTTTAGGCTTAGAAATTGATCAATATCCAGCCAGAGGTGTATTCAGTGCCTCTACTAATATATTTACACCTTTCTGCAGTAATTTATTAATTTTTGATTATAATAAAATAGATATCATTATATTAATAATAATGACAAATGGTTTTCAAAACTTATTATTTGAAATAAGTAGTTAAAGATTAGTACTGAATACTTCAACAATATGTATTTTTTAATCTTTGGACGTATCGATGAACAAAAAGATAACTGTGTGGAATGACGAGGGAGACATAAATTATTTGTGGATTAGAATTGCTAGTTGTGTAAAGAATACTGCAAAGGATATTGTTGGTAAGAGTCTTTAAGCGCGTTCAGAAAATCTAGAGAGTAAGAAAAATCAGTTAAATGTATAGCAGTAGAGAAAAAGGAGAGAAGATCTAGTGGAAAATAAATGCTTGTGTAATGAAGCTAAGTGTGCGGTAAGTAAAGCGAAGTTTAAGAGATATTATAACAGGTTAGGAATAAAGAAAGGTGAAAAAGAAATCTATAGATTAGCAAAAGTCAGTGAAAAACAATCTAAATGTTGGTGATAAGGAGATAGAGAATTTTGAAAAATTACTGAATGAAGAGTATAAAAAAACATCAGAGGATATCTCTTGGAACGAGTGACTGGTAGATTTAATTAGCGAAAATGAGGTATGGAAAGTTGTGGTATTATTAAAAACGAACCTGATGAAAAAACCAATAAAATTTTTCATTTAATGAAATCCTATTAGAAGGGAAAATGCCAAAAAGTAAAGGAACAGTATTGTGATGTTGATATTTAAAGGCAAAGGAGACATACAAGATTGTGGAAATTAAAGAGGTATAAAGTTTATGACTCATAGTATGAAGATTTGGGAAAAGATTTTAGACAAATGTATAAGAGGAGAAACATCAGTTACAAAGAGATAGTTTGATTTTTGTCTGGAAAGTTATTGATGGAGCCAATTTTTGTGTGTGAAATAACTAAGAGAAACGTATAGGGAAAAAAAGAAAAAGGTGTATATTTTTAGATTTGGAGAAAGCGTATGATAGATTATCGAGAGAAATTTTAAAGATGGCACTAATGAGGAAAAATAAAGAAATGGAGGATGTTAAGATGGTACTTGTATCATGGTAAAAAAAAAGTATGGGTGGAGTAACAGAATACTTTAGGTTAAGAGTAGAAGTGCACCAAGGTGCTGCTTTAAGCCCTTACTTATTTTCAAGAGAAATGGATGAAATTACTAATGAATCATAAGGAGAGATGCCGTGGTGCATATTGTTTGATTACAATATGCACCACGGCATCTCCAAACTCAACCAATAGTGTTAATAGGAGAAAATAGGGAGAAAATTAATCAAAAGCTAGAGGTGTGGATATCAGCACTTGAAAAAAAGAGTTTAAGAATAAGTAAGATTAAGACAGATATATAAACTACGAGGTAGGTAAAATAAGGAGATCTTTAACAATTAACTAGGATGTAATAGGAGAAGTGGAAAACTTCAAGTATTTAGGAATTGCAGTGCAAAAGAACTGTTGAATTGACGAGGATGTAACACACAGGATTAAGTGTGGGTGAGTGAAATGGAGAGAAGCGTCTGGTGTGTCATGCAATAAGAGAATTCCAATGAAGCTGAAAGGTATGTTTTATAAGACTAGTGAGGTTTAGATGGTTTAGTCATGTTATGAGGAGAGAGCTATCGGAAGCTGTGAGAACATTTATGGAAATGAATGTTAAAGAAGACCAAAAAAGATATGGAGGGATGTTGTTAAATGCGATATGAGTACTGATGTGTGCGTAAATGATGTAGGGAATCGTGTCAAGTACAAAGTAACGATAATTTTGTTGGTTATTAGATAGAAGTAAAAAATCAAATATCATAAATATGTATTTCACATTGAACTTAAATTAAAGTTCATAATTACAAAAAAGTGAGCTGACCGAAACTAAAGTGACATGATGCTGAATTTAGATCTGTTTCAAAATTTTTATAGTATCAATAATTTAGTCGTACTGATGAAATAATAAGACGCCTTAATAAAAATTCTATTTTATAAATTTGTAAAAGGTTCTTATGATGAATTAAGACATATCGATTTCGTGTTTACACTTGTTTACCAAAAGAAAGCGAAATGAAATTATAATTTTAAAAAATCAGAGTGTTTAGGCTGTTAAACAATACCGTAGTGTAAAATAAATGAATAATAAATATTTTAATTTAATAATCAAATTTAAAAGAGTTATGCGTCCTTAAGTATTCATTTATCTATTTAACGTAAATAGTTAATTATACCAAAAATATTTCTCCTTTTAAAAACTGAATATTTTTAGTTCATAAAATATAAACTTTTTTTTTTTAGAGATACAAAAGGAATCTGATGACATTATGCGAACAGCATTAAAAACCTTAAGAGACACAATTACATTGTAAGTCTAAGATAATTCGAAATTTAATAATCGTGGTTTAATTTTATTTACTAATAATAAAAATTATTGTTTTAATGTTAAAATAGAAATGGAAACAGTAATAAGAAAGAAGGAATTTTGGGCCTAAATTTTAATCAACTGACAGGAAAAAACCAATAACACATCTAAGTACATTTAAAACAAAAAATGTTGATACTAAGTTTGTGTAAAATAATTAATAGACAAATAATTTTACTTAATTATACAATTTTTTGACAATAATTTTATACCTTTTTATGACAAAAAATATTAGCTTATTTTCTAATTATTTGAATTTTTAATTTTTACTGTGTTGATTTTATAATTACGAAGTATGTATTACAATGCACAAATTCATTATTTTACAGCAAAAATCAAAATAATTATACTTGAATTTATATGAATTTAATTTCAAACAATATATGCTGATTGATGTTAACGCAATTAAAATTAGTATGTGTATGAATTTTTTATTTAGCTTCAATATAAAAAAAAAACAATTGTTTTTATCTTCTTTGAATCAATATTGTTCAACTAAATGTTTACAATCAAATAGGTTTTTTCTTCGAAAATCAAACCATTAAATATTATTTCGCTAAAATTCTTTTAAAAAATTCTTTAAAAATTAATTTTTCTGGATTAATCAAAACAAATTGTTTAATTTAGTAATATATAAAATTTACAATTAAGTAAAGTGGGGTTGGGTTGAGGTAATAACGAATGGTATAATTGTAGATTTTTTTTTCTCTTGAAATATTTAGCAATTTTAATTTTAGATTGGAAAGTTCTGGTCCTTATTTATGTTGCTGTAATATTAAATGCTAGTTTAAAATAAAAACTTGTGCATTTATCTATAAAAGTGCATTACAATTAACTTAGTTTATCTTAACTAAATTTTTAGATAAATATATTTTGAATAGAATAGACTGCCCATTTAACTTGGAATACATTTATTTAAAATTTTAAGGCTAGAACCATTTACTCAATTTGAGCTCATAGTTTTAGCCTTCAAGTTCATAATTTTGAATAAAAGAAAATTCCTATTTTATTTGATGGTATAAAAGACAATTTTTTTACTTAAATTATTATAGTCTAATACTATTTCATTAATAAAACAATAGCTGATCGTGCTAATTGTGCTGTCTATTTCAATAACTACAAGAGGTATTATATTTTTTTAGTGTAATGATACATAGTACATTTATACGTCTTAATTAAAACGTTCAACGTAAAACCTACAACTTAGTCAAAAATAAAATGTACATCTATTTTTTTTTGTCTATAGCATACATAATAATAAAACTCGAAAAATATATATAATATTAAAAAATATTTTAATTTTTTCAACTACGCATTTATTGGTTTATGAATTATCAAATGCATCGTACTTTGAAAAACATATATTTACAAGAGAAAGAAGTAAAGAGATTCAATTAAATTTATTAGGGATAAAGCAATTAAGAGATTAAGAGTTCTTCACAAAGATAAATATATATTAATATATTACATGTGAATAAATGTTAGATAAATTATTAGTAAAAGTGAATGATATTTCTCGGAGAAAAACATTGAAAAAACCAATGAAATTTACTTAGTAACTAATTATTTGCCACTTGTATTAATTGCCAACTACTGTGTGTAAACTGTAAATCATATATTAATTACTATTCTTATACTTGTATAAGAATAGTAATAAAATAGAATTTGAGAAAACATATTCATATAATTTACTAATGTAAGCTTTTTGAGAGAATTATAATACAATCAGAAACTCATCCGCACTCAACAATTTTAATATTATTAATGAAAATGGTTAAGATTACATTACAAGTAATACATCAGCGATTGAGTATTCTATAATTTTGTATTAAAAATGGCTAAAATAAAGTGGCTGATAATATATTATAATTAAAAGTAAATATTCATAATAAAGACGATGAAAATGATATTTATATTTTTGTTTTACTCTTAATGATTGTAATATTTTCCTCTGGAATATTAAAAAATCAATTTTTAAAATTTTAAAATGAAATTTTTATTTCTTAGACCAGAGGAAAGAATACGCTAACATTATTACGTATTTAATTCTGACCTTGGCCACTTTAAAGTAACCATGAGTCATTGTCTTTTTTATGTATTGTTTCTATACTTCTAACTTTTTTTCCCTTCAGTGTTTATTTTACCATATATTCCTCTAAGTATAGTAGCTTTATCTTTGTATTCTCTAAAAAATCGTTTAATATTCTTGTACGCTTTGTCACTCAAGCCTTTTGCTAGACAAGAGTCGATATTTTTGCATATATTGTTTAACCATTGCTCTTTGGCTATCTCTGCCTCTCTATTGATTAAGTTTTTGTACTTTTTTCTGACATTCACTCTTCACTAATCACGTTTTTGTACTTTCTTCGTTTTTCAATGAGATCTATAATTTTGTTATTTATCCATGGTTTTGTAGGCATTTCTTTAGTGAATTTGAGATATTTTTTCGCTGCTTTTGTCATCGTATCCCTCAATTTTTTCCATTGTATTCGGCATTACTCTGGTTCCTTTTGCTATTTGTTTCTTGTAATAGTTTATTTAATTCTTCATTGAAATTTATTTTTATTTCCTCATTCTTTAATTTATACA